TTTATAGTTCCGAGCGCTTTCCGTTATACCTTTAGCCATTATCAAGGATGATAAGTACGTGCATTATGTGTATGTTTTAGTGTGTTGTGGAGATGTTTTTAATTTCTGATATATATATATATATATATATATATATATATAAGTTATGAAGAACTTGGTAATCCGTATGGGTAAATCCAGAGGAGGATGAAATCCTGAGAGCTCAATGCAAATCCAGAGCTAATATTTAAAAGAAAAACAGACCACTTTAAGGTACCATTATAATAATTTATTTCACCAGAGCCCTTTTAAAGGACGCCGGATCATCAGATAGCATTTCCAAAAATGAAATGAAACGAAAAATGAAATTAAAATTGATGGGTAGTGTAAGTTTAACAGAGAGTGTAAAAGGGATAGTTAAAGAGACATGGTAGAGTATAGAGAGGGATTAATTTCATATCTCTCTCAAGTATACTTTATATTGGGGGAGGAGGAGTGACCAGACCTTGACCTATTTAGATGGTTAACTTAACGGAAGTGATATATAGAAATGGGAGGGGAGTAGAGAGATTTCTATATATCATTTCTATTAAGTTAACCAGTTAATGGTACCTTAAAGTGGTCTGTTTTTCTTTTAAATCTCTCTCTCTCTCTCTCTCTCTCTCTCTCTCTCTCTATATATATATATATATATATATATATATATATATATATAGGTGCTACCCAAAACTTGAAGCATGTTCATAATAATGAATGTTACATATACGGCAAATTAATGTCTACCTGTCTAGATCAGCGAAATTATTATTAAAGTAAATTCTCTCTCTGCAGAATGCAGTTTCCATTCCTGGCGAAAGATAGATATTCTTTGATTAGATTTTAAAGGATCTAGGATATTAGACGTTAATTTCCGTTTTGACATAAAAAAACGGACATGTCTTCTACAAACACGGTGATGTGTCCCCACTAAAATAACATCTCTTCCGAATTGTTGCTTCCCTTTGACCTACAATTTTCAAAAAATTGCATTTAACGTCAATCGCCATCTGCTGTCTTCCCGAACACCAGTTCTTTATTCTCCTTTCTCTTCACTAAATTCTTCTCATCATCTTCCACTCCCAGCAACCATCCGTGCCTTAGATTAATTTTCTTCTGGCTTGGAGTGAAACGATTAAACTAAATAAATATAAACACATACGCATGTAAGTCTAATTGTGAAAAAGGCAATTATTTTTTTTCCGCAAAAATCTTTTCTATTTCGACATAATGTGTTTTTTTTTTGTTTCATCCACCCTTACCCAGTCCGTCTCCATGAATCTCAAATATCAAACATAGATGACTCATTTTCGGGGATATGAACGTTTATAATTGCGCAGGAATTATTTACCGCCATATCAGTGTTTGATCTCATCATTCAGTCACTAGAACCCATTCTTCCAATTCAGCCTGTCTGCTTCAGTTCTCTCCGTTTCAAGGTCACTGCCTAAATACCTACAACGCGACATCACTATTAGTCTATTTGAACTTTGACCTTTGAAAACCATCCCCAGCCCCAGGTGCTTTCTGTAAATTTGCTGCTAACCTGCTTTTGATTTATCCTATTTTTCAGACCAGTTGCTGGCTCCAAGACAACTCCCTGACATTTCCCAAACCGAAGTTGCCCCCAGCGCCAAAAGGAACTGCCACTGATTTCAATACAAAGAGCTCCTTTACTCATCAGGTCTCCACTAATTTTCACAAACTCTGTCTCTCTGTACACGAGATTTTACCCTAAATTCTATCTAAATCTAATGTTAGCATTGATCTATTGAATTCAATTTTTAATAATCGATCTTCCGTCTATATATAGTAATTATATAAAAAAATTCGAACTGGTAATAAAATAACCAAATCCCACCCCTTCGCTTGTTACTATCCATTTCAATTAATATAATGTTTTCGGTGCTGAAGCTGAACTAGTTAAATGACGTTTCATAAGCTTCTATTAATTGTTACTAGATTACATTCGGAAAGCATTTATTTTGACATGTTTCTCTGAACAAACAGCGCCATTAGAAAAGAATGTATTTTATTTCAACCAAATCTACATATGCGCGAGACAAAATGTGACTTACGTTAATCAACACTGGACTTTATTTTAATTTAACTCTACCCTTTTTTAATTTACATTTTACTAATTTCAACTCAGTTTATATTTGTTTGATTTAAGATTTTTTTAACACCAGTTTAGTAAGAGCTAAGTAATAGACTCAAGAGACTCGCTCATATACTAACTGTAGGAGGTGCGTAAATCATGGCACTTTCAATACATTTTCCTTTGATTAAATCATATTCTTTAATAAAACGTTATTTTCTAGTTCCAAATTATGATCATGAAGATTTCGGTAGCATACTCAAGCATTGAGTCTTTTAAGTTCGTTTTATGTTCGTATATATTTTTCTAAATTCCAGGATTCCCCAACGGATGTATTTCCATAGGCAGGAGGATTATTTCTATCCTAATTGGTAAACTCCCGCTTCTCATGTAAAGTTAGTTTATCGTTTTCTTCGATTAAATTTTAAATTGTTTTAGAAGTTTGATAATTATATTTGGATATTGAAATTATTTAAATTTCTGTCTTGTGTATTACTTAGGAAGTCTTTTGGTAAATATAATGTGCCTAGATTTTTTTTGTTTATACATACGTTTCCTTTTTTCTTTATTGGTTTTGTTGATTTTGTATACTTTTCATTTAACATGATATCTGAAAAAATTGGGATAGTGGAGAATTATTTCAAAATGTTCACTGCATAAACATCTCCATTTAAACAGACATTTACCATATCAATTTTTGACTAAGCTTAGATGAAACTGGTACATAGTAAAGATCTATGTCAATAAACATAGCAAAATACTATAATGATTTAGACCAACACTTAGTGCTCCATATGAGTTGCCTTCTACCAGCATTGACTAATCTTTGCAGTATACACATATATATCAGTCTTCGTTATTTTATAAAATTCAAACAGGTTAGCTACTCCTATGACTAAACAATTGGGGTTTAATGCCATGTCCCTTCAGGACGTAGGTGGTTATGACTCGCCACAAATTTCGTTTTAATATCTGTGAATGTTAGTGGAGTGGTTTTCCGTTGTAGTCTCCATAGTTTTGAATTCTGAGTTCTTTGCTTAGAGTGGTTGCCATCCAAGGCTACAGAGCCTAGTCTACTCTGCAATTTATCAAGTAGCAATGCTTGTAGAGAGGAAAATGGATTCAAGCCTTTTCCAATGGAATTTCTGCGGAATTGAATTCAAGAGACTAGCTCTGAATTTGAAGTCAGCACTGGTTCCACTGTCGGTGTATATATCCACTGCAGTACATATATTCAAAGCTTTTAGAGAACTAAGAAACGAAAGTGTTTAAAAAGCAGTTTCTTATTAATTTTAATTTAAAGTATTATTTTGTATGGCCACCTCTCTCCTTGATAACAAATTCAATACGACAAGGTTATAAGACTCTAATAATATGCGGCTGATATTCAAGTGGCCCTTATGTCTTTGGTAGCATCCACAAGAACCTTGGTAGTGGCTGGCTACTTTCTTCAACTTTATTATTAAAATCCAATAAATTCTATATGGAGTTGAAGTGAGGTCTGTTGCCAGGCCATTCCACCGTGGTGACCTTGACCTTCCTCAGATATTCTTGCAGTTACTTTGCTTTTGGGAATAGGACAACACCATACATAAATGTACCGCAACTATTTACATGCATCAGAAAATTTAGTTTAGACTGCAACAATTTCTAAAAAAGAGGGTGTATTTTTTTATTTATTCATCGGACAGATTTTATTATTTAACGTTTATTTTTAGTGGATACTCATATATTTGTGAATGACGATTGGCTTGGTTTTTTGTTATTTAGTTTTAGTCCCTTCGCAGACCACTTTGTTTATTAAAGCTTTCGTTAATGTATATGTGGCAGACATAGTGGACCAGAACCAGAGTCGATTTGTAGAAGTGGTGAACAGGCCTTATTCTCGACAAAATTAAAGTTCGTCTTTCTGGTATGTAGGACTTTGATTTGAAAGAAGGCGAACACATCATTCCGTCAAAATAGATCCTTCTTTGTTTTCCCACAAGAAACTGGTTCATTAGCAACTGTGTAGAATATTAGTGTGGTTGGACAGAACCGAGGAGAGACATCCTGGTGTGCTCGGGTTCATTCTGAGGCGCCCGTATGTATATTATCCTGGAGGGTGATTAGTGATCCCCCATTATAAGTAGACCATCGTGGAGATGAGAGCGGTCTTCTGTCGGAGGACATCGTACTGTATTTAAAGTTCTGATAGTAGGAACGAACGACGAAGCGGGCACAGAGAAGAGAACATCGATAAATACCAAGAAACCGGTGTAGAGGGAAGAAACGCCCAATCTGAAATTACGTCCCAAAATAGAGTTGCTAAATTTTGACCACAGTATGTTCTGGCCTTGTTGTTTTTAGAACAATTTAAAGGACAAAATAAATTGAAATATCATGGACAAAATCTTGAAACATGAACGCTTGGTGATATCCCCAAATTCACCATCTAAAGATTTCAATTACTTGGATATCGCACCTTTTTTTTTTCATTCCTAGGACAAACTATAGATGATAATGTCCATAATGTACTAGGCAAGATATTTGAATCAATTGCATTTCTTCGGATGTCTACGATTATATTGCCGAGTATATTACTATCAAATCTGTCGTAGATCGTCTCAGTGAATGAAACCAAGGAATGAAATGTTCGCTTGACATATTCTAGCCACTCGTGGACAAAGAGACCAAGTGTATATTGGTGAATATGTCCAAGGGTTACAACTAACAATGAAGGATTCCAGTTTCCAGTCGGTTAAAGCTGCTTATCATCGGGATGACTGCGTTAGGGACGCGATAATAAACGGTTGGCGCTTTAACTCCATTCGACAGCGTCTTTTAGAAAACAGAACCCTTGACTTACACACGGCGGTTAATCAAGCCAGAAAAAAAACCCGGAACCTTATAGAAAGAACCGAAGAAAAAGAAAAACGTAAAGAAAAAGAAAAAAGATATGATACGAATGGAAGAAAGACGAGAACAGAAAGGAAGAAAGAAAGAAGACTGTTATAGACAGAAACAAAAAGATATAGATACAAAAAGGGAGGAAAGATATAGCAAGAAAGATACAGGAAGAAAGAAAGAAAAAAGAGAAAAAAGTGAAGAAATATATAGGGAGAAGGAAGAACAGAGGATATAAGAAGAAAGACAAAACAAATATGTTGGGAGAAAGAGGGAAGAAATAGATAGGGAGAAAGAGGAAAGAACGGTGTAGGGAAAAAGAATTAAAAAAAGTATAGGGGGAGAGAAGGAAGAAAGAAATAGGGACACAGAAGGAAGAAAGATATGGCGATGAAGAAAACGTATTGGGAGAGAGAAGGAAAAAAGTCATAGAGACAAAGAGGGAAGAAAGATGGTGGAAGAAATAGGTTAAGAAAGGCATATAGAGAAAGAAGAAAGAAAGATATAGAGAGAAAGAAGAAAGAAAGATAGTTAAAAGGAGGAAGAAGAGCGATTTATGAAGAAAAAAGAAAGATTGAAGAAGAAAGAAAAGGATGAAACAAACAAGAACCTAGCGGGAAATGAAAGAAAAATAAAATAAAATTATTTGGCAAATATAGATAGAAGAAATAAAGGTTATATTAAAAAAAAAAAAAGAATATGGAGAATAAAAATTTCAGAAAACCCCGAACACCAAGAACAATGAACGGAATAAAAATGAAAGTTGAAGGCAGAGAAATGTTAGATATAGAAGCCGGAAAAAATAAGCGAATGAAATCAAATAAAGAATATATAAAAAAAAAAAAAAAAATTGAATGATGGACAGAGCATAAAAAGTGATCGGAACAGCAAAAGCAAAAAAGAATAAAAAAAATAAAAGATTAATAAAGAAAGGAGATAAAATAAAAGAAAGTAGTTATGAAGAATAAAAGAAAAAACGAATGAATTAAAAATATAAAAAAACAAGAATGAATGAATGATGGAGACAGGTGAGGAGAGAAAAAAAAAAATGTAACGCTAGAGAATAAAAGAAAAATTAAAATAACAAGAATAAAAATGAACAAGAAAGAGGAAAAAAAAAGAAATGAACGAATGAATGAAAAAAAAGAAAAGAATAAAAGAATGAAGAATGAACGAATGATGAAGACAGGTGAGAAGAGAAAAAGAAATGTAACTCTAGAGAATAAAAGAATTAAAATATAAAAGAACAAGAATGAATTAAAATATAAAAGAATGATGGAGACAGGTGAGGAGAGAAAAAAAAAAAATGTAACGCTAGAGAATAAAAGAATTAAAATATAAAAGAACAAGAATGAACGAATGATGGAGATAGGTGAGGAGACAAAAAAAGAAATGTAACGCTAGAGAATAAAAGAATTAAAATATAAAAGAACAAGAATGAACGAATGATGGAGACAGGTGAGGAGACAAAAAAAGAAATGTAACGCTAGAGAATAAAAGAATTAAAATATAAAAGAACAAGAATGAACGAATGATGGAGACAGGTGAGGAGACAAAAAAATGTAACGAAAATGAATAAAATATAAAAAGAACAAGAATAGAGAATAAAAAAAGAATTAAAATATAAAAGAACAAGAATGAACGAATGATGGAGACAGGTGAGAAGAGAAAAAAGAAATGTAACGCTAGAGAATAAAAGAATTAAAATATAAAAGAACAAGAATGAACGAATGATGAAGACAGGTGAGAAGAGAAAAAAGAAATGTAACGCTAGAGAATAAAAGAATTAAAAAATAAAAGAACAAGAATGAATGAATGATGGAGACAGGTGAGGAGAGAAAAAGAAAAGAAATGTAACGCTAGAGAATAAAAGAATTAAAATATAAAAGAACAAGAATGAACGAATGACGGAGACAGTTGAGAAGAGAAAAAAGAAATGTAACGCTAGAGAATAAAAGAATTAAAATATAAAATAAAAAGAACAAAAATGAAGAAATGATGGATACAGGAGAGAAGAGGAAAAAGAAATGTAACGCTAGAGAATAAAAGAATTAAAATATAAAAGAACAAGAATGAATGAATGATGGAGACAGGTGAGAAGAGAAAAAAGAAATGTAACGCTAGAGAATAAAAGAATTAAAATATAAAAGAACAAGAATGAATGAATGATGGAGACAGGTGAGGAGAGAAAAAGAAAAGAAATGTAACGCTAGAGAATAAAAGAATTAAAATATAAAAGAACAAGAATGAAGAAATGATGGATACAGGAGAGAAGAGGAAAAAGAAATGTAACGCTAGAGAATAAAAGAATTAAAATATAAAAGAACAAGAATGAATGAATGATGGAGACAGGTGAGAAGAGAAAAAGAAATGTAACGCTAGAATAAAAGAATTAAAAAATTAAAAGAACAAGAATGAACAATGATGAATGAATGATGGAGACAGGTGAGGAGAAAAAAGAAAAGAAATGTAACGCTAGAGAATAAAAGAATTAAAATATAAAAGAACAAGAATGAAGAAATGATGGATACAGGAGAGAAGAGGAAAAAGAAATGTAACGCTAGAGAATAAAAGAATTAAAATATAAAAGAACAAGAATGAACGAATGATGAAGACAGGTGAGAAGAGAAAAAAGAAATGTAACGCTAGAGAATAAAAGGATTAAAATATAAAAGAACAAGAATGAACGAATGGTGGAGACAGGTGAGGAGAATTAAAAATATAAAAGAAAAGAAAAAAAAATGTAACGCTAGAGAATAAAAGGATTAAAATATAAAAGAACAAGAATGAACGAATGATGGAGACAGGTGAGGAGAGAAAAAGAAAAGAAATGTAACGCTAGAGAATAAAAGAATTAAAATATAAAAGAACAAGAATGAATGAATGATGGAGACAGGTGAGGAGAGAAAAAAAAAGAAATGTAACGCTAGAGAATAAAAGAATTAAAATATAAAAGAACAAGAATGAAGAAATGATGGATACAGGAGAGAAGAGGAAAAAGAAATGTAACGCTAGAGAATAAAAGAATTAAAATATAAAAGAACAAGAATGAACGAATGATGAAGACAGGTGAGAAGAGAAAAAAGAAATGTAACGCTAGAGAATAAAAGAATTAAAATATAAAAGAACAAGAATGAATGAATGATGGAGACAGGTGAGGAGAGAAAAAGAAAAGAAATGTAACGCTAGAGAATAAAAGAATTAAAATATAAAAGAACAAGAATGAAGAAATGATGGATACAGGAGAGAAGAGGAAAAACGCTAGAAATGTAAAATATAAAAAAACGAATGAACTAGAGAATAAAAAAAGAATTAAAAATATAAAATATAACAGAACAAGAATGAACGAATGATGGAGACAGTTGAGAAAAGAGAAAAAAAAAAAAAGAACAAGAATGAAATGAAAAGAATAAAAGAATAAAAATAAAAGAACAAGAATGAATTAAAGAATAAAGGAATGAAGAAAAACGAATAATAAAATGTAGAAGATTAACATAAACAAGAATGAATGAATGATGGAGATTGAAGTAAAGAAAAAAAAAAATATAAAAGAAATGAAAAAATGAAAGAATGTAATTATCGGGAGGAACATTTCAAAAACTGTTAAAAAAAAAAGAATTAAAATATAAAAAGAACAAGAATGAAAAATGATGAAGACAGGTGAATAAAATTAAGTAACAAAAAAATGAAAAACAAATCCCTATTTTAATTCTTTCCTACTTTCTTTAATCTGTTTTAATTTTTTTAAAAATTTATTTTAATTTATAACTGACTGATAGAAAGCATTTGCTCCAAACGAATTCTATTGTCAAACGAGCTCCTTTTTATTAGAAAAATGTCACCACAATTTTTTTCCTTTACTGTTTCCATTGGTGGAATATTTATTCCTTATTTTACTTTTATTTTTAATCTTAAAAATTTCAGATTCCCTAATGGAATTTTATCCCTTGACCCTCTGCAAAAAAGAATCGCACGTTTTTGAAATTTTAACGAGTTCTTTTGAAATTTAGCTTTTAAGTCTCAATACTTAAAATAATTTTCATCCTCATTTTAAATTGATAGAAGAAAATAAAAAAAGAAAAAAGATTTTCCAATGCACAAGAAATGCTTCCTTTCCGTCGCCATTATTCTGTTGAAATGAGTGGGATTAAAAGTGTTATCAATCGGCTTCAGTCCTATTAGGACTCGTCAGAATTACACTCGCTCTCCAAGAAGGGTCACTGCTTTTTCTCACTCATCTCTAGTAAAGTTGTAATCTTCTAGGATACTAAAGGCAAATAGAATCAGCAAACCTAGTTCAAGTTCCCGTCTGATGGCAAGTTAACATCCAAGGACAAAAACATAAAAGAACAAGAATACTACCCTTGGGAAAAATAGGAATCTTCTACGTCTCTCAGTTACGGTTGACTAAACATTTTTACGTCTGCTTAGCAACTAGCCCGAAAAAAGCAATACTCTGAATTCAAAACTAATTCATTATCTCTCCCAAGAATTTTTATTTAATCATGTCATTCAAATCAAGGGGATAATTCCACTAAGAGATGAGGGATTACTGGGTGAAAGAAAACGGGAAGATTTTAGAAGGAACCAGAAATCATTACTAAATAGGAAACAAAGGATAAACCTTTACTCCTGTTCAAAAGATAACCGGGCGATAAGTGGATATCAGGGCATTTCCCAGATAATAAAGGAAATTAATCTGTAGGAGGAGGAGGAGGCACGGTGAAGTAATAGATAGAAGCTTGGATTGAAGAATCGGAGAGCCGAGTTCGAATTCCAGTCGGATCCAATACATTCACTTAAATGCTAATACTCTTGGGAAACGTATGAATCCTTTTCTCCTGCCCCCATGGGTAAATGTGAAAATAACAAGACAGACCGGGTTCTATAGCCTTGGATGGCAACTGGACGTCCTCAGAACGCTACTGCGGGAAAACATCTGCCACGTTAGTCATGTATCGAATGATACATGATTGCCTAAGCGTGTATCACGCATGGCACATAACAGACTGAATCTGTAGGAAGCCAATCTACGTCTCGAAGACACATCCTCCTCCTCCTTAAGTTTTGTAGAATTACAACTTTCATGAAACCGAAATAGAAAAGAGGTATAGTTTGTGAGCATAATAATCAGAATGCTTTGGCTGATACACTATCACTACTCTCTAATTTGGAACCGCCACCACGTATCTCCAATAGTCTGATACCATGGACCTAAGTGAGAAGAGCCGAAACATTGTAATAAATATGGCGACAAAGATGAGGACAATAGTCCGAATAATATAAATAGTGTACATAATACCTCATCTCAGAAATATAGACAGATACTGAAGGGCCTAAACGCTGTAATAAAAATGGCGAAAAAGATGAGGACAATAGTCCGAATAATGTAAATAGTGTACATAATACCTCATCTCAGAAAAATATAGACAGATACTGAAGGGCCTAAACGCTGTAATAAAAAAATATGGCGATAAAGATGAGGACAATAGTCCGAATAATGTAAATAGTGTACATAATACCTCATCTCAGAAATATAGACAGATACTGAAGGGCCTAAACGCTGTAATAAAAATGGCGAAAAAGATGAGGACAATAGTCCGAATAATGTAAATAGTGTACATAATACCTCATCTCAGAAATATAGACAGATACTGAAGGGCCTAAACGCTGTAATAAAAATTGCGATAAAGATGAGGACAATAGTCCGAATAATGTAAATAGTGTACATAATACCTCATCTCAGAAATATAGACAGATACTGAAGGGCCGAAACGTTGTAATAAATATGTCGACAAAGATGAGGACAGTAGTGCGAATAATGTAAATAGTGTACATAATACCTCATCTCAGAAATATAGACAGATAATGAAAGGCTGAAACGTTGTAATAAATATGTCGACAAAGATGGGGACAGTAGTGCGAATAATGTAAATGGTGATGTATACCTAGTTTATAGATTTTTCAAAAACGTTTCATAAATTGCGTCATAATGAATTTTTAGAACTGTTAGTTAGACTTGATTCATTTGGGAAGCATCTTATAATAATCCAGAACTTTTCTAGACAGAAAATGAATTCGGTAAATTCACAAAAATAGAAAGCAGTGTAAGACAAGTATGTGTCTTCTTACCACACTTATTCAACTTTTACTGTGAAGCAATCCAGGGAGAATCAGGAGTTCTACCGGGAATCATAAGTGGCGGTCAGAATCTTAATAACATTAAATAGTCAAATGACACAGTGTCGATAGCAAACACAAAAAACTACTAGAACTCATGAAATTTAATAAAAGAAAGCAAGAAGAAAGGAATACATATCAACTGTAAAAAGAATGTACGATTGTCAGCATTAAATACCTCGGAGGTCTTCTAACAAAGGACGTAACATGTGATACCAATATCAAAAGGATAGCCAAAGATGCCTCCTAAAACTAAGCAAAGTATAAAGAAACATGGAAATTTCGTTAGAAAAGACTTCTGAAATGTTAGATAATATAGATCCTCCTCTATGGCAGCGCATGCTGGAAATTGTTAACACAGATTAAGATGACTCTTTAAGCAACAAGAAATTATTCTACAGAAGGATGCTGAGGATACCTTGGATTGAACTTGTGAGCAACTTTGAAATTTTAGAGAAAACGGAAACAAAAACGACACATACTTGCATCAGAAATTTAAAATTTCTAAGGGTACATAACAAGGAAAGAAGGCTTGGAAAAGTTAACACTCACAGGACGTTAAAAGCAAGAAGGATAAAGAAAAGCAGCATCTAATCTACTAAATGAGCTATTTTAAAGGGATTAGAAAAGATAACAAAAAGATAAACTTTAGTAACAGCTACAAATAACAGGAAATTGTGGTGAGCCATGTACGCCCATGTCCTAAAGGGACACGGCACATACAAAAATGAAAAGCATCTGTTATCTCAACAATAAAAATTGTCTCAAAAATATTGATTTTATGTTGAGATTCGACTTGAACTTGCCCACAAGAGAATGTTTATTCTTTAACTAAGAATTAGTGGAAGAAATTAAAAATTATATTATGGGGAACATACGAAGAGAGAAAAATTAAAACGGGTAAACAAATTCTCAAGCAATCTCCATCGGACAGTCTGTCTAATGAGCCACAAAACCAAATTAATGATGTGATGAATAGATTGCGAAGCAGAATTAGACCAGAATTAGGCGTCCTGTGTAAGACGATAAACTACATCCGATAGCAAGGCTTTTGATCAGGAGGTGTTTCCAGGTTCACCCTGACCCGGGGTGGTAGCAACTGTTAGGGTCCCAGCAATGGGCAAATAGTCAAACTGGAATCAAAACGAGTAAAAATAGGTTTTAATACCAGCAATACATTTTTCTAAAACATTATAACCAGTAAGAAATTTTCGAAGAAAAAAATATTAGCGGCAATACATCTTTGAAAAAAAAAATATTGCCATCAAAAAAAATCTTGTCGGCATTAAATAACCCATTGAGTTTGATATGCCGTAAAACAAAATAAATCAAACCAAACCAAACCAAACCAAACCAAACCTGAAATAGGACAAGAATAGTTCGGCTGTGTCAAGGACACTCGAACAAGAAATGCGATATACATTAATAGAATGATATTAGATCGAGCAATGCAATTGCAGAAGAATGTTTTATAGATTACATAAAAGCATTTGACAAAGTACGGTACAAGGATCTGTTTGAACAGCTGGGAAAACTTGATCTACTTGGCTGTTTTAATAATCCAGGACTTAGAGTGGGATTAACCCGAAGGAATATAGATAGAAAATGAATTGAGTAGCTATACAAAATTAGAAGGGGGCGTGAGACAAGGTTGTGTTATTCAATCTTTACAGCGACGCTATCCTAGAAGACCCTACCAGGATTTATTATAGGTGGGCGTAATCTTAACAATATAGGATACGCAGATGACATTGTATTGATGACTGACTTGAAATGGAAACTACAGGACGTCCTAGACAGGGTGGTAGAAGAAGTCTTAAAAAAAGTACTAATCATCAAATTCAAGCAGACAGAAAATATTGGTTATCATGAAGAGAAAAAACGAAAGATGGCAGTTACAAATTAAATATGTTAAAATTGGGTGCAGAAGTTTAAATAACTCGGAAGTGTCTTAACAGAGTAGGAAAATGCGACACTGAGATTAAAACATTCATTGGACTAGCGAAAGAAGGGGTTCAGAATTAATTTAACCCTCCGCGACGCGAATGAGTCCGTAATTCTATTGTCGATAACTCCAAAACGGTAGATTTTATCAAAATTTCTTTGAGGTGCCGAATTGAAATTGGTTCTGGCACCACGAAACATTCCAAAGGTTTAAAAAATTGCAGAGAAACGGGAACATTTTATTAGAAACAGACAGACAGACAGATAGATAGATAGATAATGAATAAACTGCGATAGATAAAACGAACAGACTGTAATAGATAGATAATGAACAGACTGACAGATAGATAGATAGATAGATAGATAGATAGATAATGAACAGACTGTGATATATATATATATATATATATATATATATATATATATATATATAGACAGATATAAACAGCCTGGGATAGTTGTCTTAAAATCTACTTTTGAAAGGCAGATATTTACCTTACGACGTTCAGACTAACACAAAACATCAAATTTTAATCTCCCAGTGTTTGAAAAACAAAAAAAAAAATGCTTTTGCATAATAAATATTCAATCAACTCAGGATGATGACATGCGCATTAGAAAGAAATGCAAAAATGCAAATTTCCACATTCAAATGCCGCAACTAAAGAAAAATACAGGCACAATGCATATAATCATACATATTGGATTGGTGCATAATTATCAGGCGTTGTATAAATAATAATTATTATGAAAAAAGAAACATAACAATTCAACAATAACATTTTTTTAAATGATTGTTCCAGAGTGTATGATTATCGACACGCATTTTTATATCCTGAAAATGAAATAATATTTTTGTTAAAAAAAGTAAACACAGCAATTTTTATTAACAAATAACTTGTCTACAAAAAGACATGATAATTATGCACCAACCCAATATATATATATATATATATATATATATATATATATATATATATATAATTATTTAAAAAAAATAAAATTAATAATATAAATATGTTATAAAATAACTACAAAATAGCCATTTTGTTTCAACACCCTCGGTGTCTTATCGAGTGATGATGTTAAATGTAAAATAAATGGTTTGAAATTAATTAACGATCCTTCGTAAGGGGAAAACGTTATTACAAAAGCTAGAATGACCAATCAAAACACAAGTATAGGAAGATTTAAAAGCTTGACAACGAAATCATTTTATAATAGCTATTCAGATCTTTAAAATACGGGTAATATTAAAAAAGAATTTATTCTAACCAATAAGTATTAAATTATATGATAAAATTTGATATTAAAATAAAAACTGCCAATTTTAAAAATCCAAATTTAATCACTATTAAGTTTAAAAACTATAAAATTACTGAGGAGAAAAGAAGAAATATATATGTTATTCAATTTATTTCTTCGTTGAAATTACGTTAGAACAGACGCTACAATATCCGGTCATGCGACAATACATGTATATATATTTTAATCCCAAGTGTGTGAATGGGGTCTTAAACTCACGCGCAAAACAACACAAACACAATCAGATTATAATACATAAGCACCCAGACATATTTAGATATAAAAAAGCGACGAGACAGAAAACATCTCCACGGCCCTTTATGAAAAAAAAATTGTTGGTTATTGGAATTCATTCTGTATACACCAATTATATATATATATATATATATATATATATGTATGTATGTATATATGTGTGTGTGTGTGTATATATATATGTATATATATATATATATATATATATATATATATATAGGTACGATGAGAAAGAATAGAGTACAATACAAACGTTCGTAACAGCTCATTTAAAAGAAGGCACAATACAGAGCAGTGCAATATTATTTAATTTAGGACATTACACCGAAAACATGTACAAATCGTTACTTAATTGCAGTCGTAATTTAGTGTATATCGATGCACCTCAGCTGGCGATTGTGAACGATTATTTAGATTTATAAGGAAAATAAAACCACTTTTTTTTATCGAGAAAAAACGGGATATATGTTTTGAGGGCTTTAATCGAATCAGCCAATCAGATATGACCTACGTTAAATTTAAACTAAACGAAGAAAAAGGAAAAATTATCTTTTATAAATAGGCCATGACCCGTAGATTGGCACCTAACAGCAGCCAGACATAAACTAAAGTGCATACATATGGTTACATAAAATATACAAAGCAAAAAATGCAGTTTCCTAAGAGATAAAGTGTTAGATCGGTAATTTAAAATTTAATATAATTTTGTATTAATTTCCTGATAGTATTAGTAACATCTTGTACAGAGTATTGGTAGTTGGTTGTTATTTTGACATTTTACATTGAAGGATCTTTATTTAAAACTTGCATATTAATTTACCAAATAATTCTATATGTTTAAATTGTTTACTAGTTTCTTAAAAAGCCATTTATTTATTAACTACAAAAAAATTATGTAGGAATTTCACAAAGCATATATCTCGTTTAGCATTTTGTTAAATTTTTGCTCTAAGCCTCCTTTTTATTTATTATATATATATATATATATATATATATATATATATATATATATATATATATATATTATAAATTAATTGATTTAAAATATGTTTTTTTCGCTTCACAGTTCTAACCATGTTTCAAATATGGAAGCTAAAAGCCCCGAATTTAATTTTGTAATTAAATTAAAGACATTAGTTCCATTTCATCCTCAAGCGAATTAATTTATAATATTAATGCTCTGTAAATTTACATTGAGCACTATTTTGTAAAAATAAAAATATCTATAAGAACACCGGATTATATATCTTACTGTTCTTTATATATATATATATATATATATATATATGTGTGTGTGTGTGTGTGTAAGCCTTATATCCTATCTATAAATATTATAAACTATTCAACATATCCAATCTTAAGTAATTAAATTTTGCTATCATCATGAGCCTTTCTAATGTTTAACATATGATACATACGTTAATATATGAATTTAATATGTAGTTTTTAAAGAGTTACTTATCGATACATATTGGGGTTGAAGAAGTGACCTTGGAATATAAATGTAAAGAAATAATTAATGATTGTACATTCGTACATAATAATTTTATTTTATGTTCATTTTTGTCTTATAATTCCGTCTAATTATCGTTAATACCCGTTTTTTTCTAACTAAACTACTTTTATTATCTTTCGAAAATGTTTCATCCTAACATAGGGTGTTTTTAGATACATGTCAGCTAGTATATATATGTATGTGCATGGATGTAGGTATCTAAGCGTCTGTAAGTATACATGACTATACGAGTAGAGATATTCTTAACGTGGACGAACGCATAGGTACGCATGTATATCCAAATTCCCTCCAAATCTTTAAAAACACTTTCCCCAAACTTTGAGCTCTGGTACATGGACGAGTTTAATAGACCAATAATTGTGAATTATCTCTCTTTCCTCTTACTAAAGTTATGTCTTAATTGTTTTTTCACGTTTTTGTTAATTTTCGTGGATTCCCATTGAATCAAACTTTAGTCGTGTGACCATTAGGATGTAGGTCACTCATCGGTTTTCCCTTGTCTCCCACTACCCCAGCATTCTTACCTCCATAATATACTTCTTGCAACGGTGCCTTCTTCTGTCATATCTCCCATCAGGTCTCTTCTAACATCCTCCCCCCACCAACTAGCCAGTATCCCACTACAAACTGATAACCGCAAACAGTTCGAAAACTCCCGCGAATTTAAAAATTAAAACTCTAAGGTGAAAATAGTTATTAACTAAAGATACCTTCATTCTTATTGTAAAAGAAAATTACTCTGTTTAAGCAAAATAAGCATTGAGGGCTCATTGTGAACCTGTTTTCACATATTAAAAATTCTATATTGTCTTTATAGGACTCGCCTGGATTATACCAACAGGCCAATATATATATATATATATATATATATATATATATATATATATATATATATATATATATATATGTGTGTATGTGTATATATATATATATATATATATATATATATATATATATATATGAAGTCATATCCTTTTAAAGTTGTGCTATATTTATGGGATAAAGTGCTCAATATCAGAAATAGAGCGTATGTAAATATAAATTTAAATGTGAACACTTAAGTCAACACTAAGAGGCGACAGGCTGTTTCATGCTAGGCGCAAGCATCAGGCTGCCTGATGATTGCATTTAGTATGAAACAGCCTGTCGCCTCTGAGTTTTGATTTCACTGTTCACTTATTGATGTGGGGCCAAAGTTGGGACCACAGAAGGAAAACACGGAACACGAATTAGATGTAAGAAAGATATATTAACAGGTTACAGAGATAGTGTAAGCGGAGCTTACTATATGTTAGTGTCTAATACTGGTAGTCTTACGCGACTCTCTCTGTCTCTCTATGTCTCTCTCTGTCACTATCTAGAGTGCTATGTCGCCTACGTAATATAAGCCTGGAAGAGTCTATTGTGTAGGTAGTTTCCGGTCTCACAATACCCCCCCTTCCAAAGAGTTTTCTTTTTGAAAAGGAGAGAAAAAATAAAACTGTTAATACTTTTTCCTCTTCGGATTTACGTCGAGCGGTTGAGTAAATTTCCTTTTTATTCCTGAGCGTCACACTTCAGGAGAGACTCGGGGCATGTCGAGATCGAAGTGATCGAAAATTACGTCGATCGGCTCTTCACAGTTATTTTGTAGTGATTCCTCAGGTTCCTTTAAACGGCATTTTCTGAGCTGGTTTCAATGGCGTTTGTGAATGATTTTTGGTTCTTGGACCATATAGACCAGTTCGCAAATTCTCTGCTTTATGGTGTCCACTTCCCAGAATGTCATATTGTTCTTGTACGCCTTGAAAAAGACCCTATCGCCAGGATTGAAATATTTCCTATGAGGCGATACAGGTTTTTTGAACTTTGCTTGTCGTGGAATAAGTTTGTCGAAGACAGACTTTATTTTCCTTGCGAACATTGTTTCTGCAGGCGAGCTTCCCATAGGCGTCTTCGGATTAGGGGTTATCCGATACACCTGCAGAAATTGTTGCAATGCTCTATCTGTCGGTGTGCCTAGTGCCTTTTTTAAAGCCCTTTTTAGAGCGTCCACGAAACTTTCGGCCTGACAATCGACCTAGGGTGGTACTGAGGCGTTGTAATGTGGTCCACCTGATATGACTTGCAGAAGTCATTAAATTCACTTGATGTGAATTGAGTACTATTATCAGTAACTATACAATCTACGAAGCCAAAACGCGCGAATAGCTCGTGTAGAAATCCGATCGTGCAGTTTGTGGTTGGTCTTTTACATTGTAGGACCTCAGGCCATTTTGAGTGGCTATCCACAACAATGAGATAGTACATGTTGTCCATAGGCCCTACAAAATCCACATGAATTCTTTGCCAAGGATGATCTGTTTTGGGCCATGGTTTGCACGTCGTGTTTGGAGCTTTTGCTGCAAGCGCGCACCCTTTGCATGATTCTATCATGTCTGCTATGTCCTTGTCCATGTTTGGCCAATA